GCCGAGAAACCATTGAGTTTTTCATAGCGCCGCGACTTTCGTCGCAGTTTTTATTTTTTTATTGCAGAGATTAAGGGATGAAACGGGGGTTGATGGATGACGAATTTAATTCTCCATTGAACAGTCTTTATTCCATCCCTTAATATTAATTAGTCGGCGAATAAATCAACTGAAAAACATAAAGTAAACATTGAGTACAAGGAGGACAAAAGTTCCCCTCCGAACCTGTCTCTGTTACAGCGGGACTGCTACTGCCGAGTTACCACGCACCCGACTCACATTTACCGACAATTCGACCGGGACGCCGCCTTTCCCGTGGGGTACCAACTAACATTTTTGGAGTCAGTCAAACTCCCCGATCGGGGCCTCTACTCAGGTCTATCCTCTTTGGGTGGGGGGTTGAGGTCAAGGCTCCCAAAAGGCAAGCGTCAGAGTACTACAAACTTACGAATAAAAAACTTCCTATCACCTAGATTTCTCATTTTCAAATTTAACAATGGAATTAAAATGTAATTTTACTTTCGCTCGACACTTCTGATCAGGCGATATAATATTTTCATTCAATTTTTTACAGCAGAATTTCTTCAACAAACATTAGCAATATGTCGAAAAATAATCGACCACATCGATATAATTATAATGGTGCGATTTATATCTACTTTATTTTTATAACTGCGCCGATGTAGCCATATCAATTACTAATACGACATATTTAGGAATTGTGATAATAAAACAAAAAACTATTATATTGACTCTTCAAGCCAGTGATATACCGCAGCCACGAATAAATATCATGCTGAACATTTGAATACAAAATAGTTAGGCAGCGGAATTAATTAATGCCTCCAATCAAGAATTACTTCAATGTACTCTTGAAGATATGACTACTCTTGATGAACTAATATCTTCTTACTTGTATTTACGGTAAAAAATTGATAACTGTAAGGTCATTAACTGTAGTCTGAGTTTACCGGCGGAATTACAACAGTATTTGACGGTTTTATGTGATTAAAAATGATAACGGATATAGATTCCAGCCAAGAAAGTAATCCTAAGAATAATATATCTACCAATGAATTTTTTTGACGAAAATTTCTTTAGTCTTCAGCCCTTGGATTACGTTAACGGGAATTAGAACTTGTAAGAACCTTTGCATTGATCTCCTTATAGAAATGGAACTAGCAGAATCCATGAAATTGTATTATTGAGCATGACGCTAAAAAATCAATAATAGTAGTTATATAACTCCCGTATAATTATACTATCGTACAACATGTATTCAACTATTCCAACCCAAGAGCCTATTCTTTAATGTAATTTTTAGTTTGAGATTATTCGAATCAGGCGCTTAAAAATACTGCGGATTTTCGATTTAGCCGAATGGTATGGCGAACTCTGCTTTATCGACCTTGGAAGATAAGGCAGGGAGCAACATATCGATAAAACATCACCGCTAAATAGGGGCGGGGAAGGCAAAATGGGGCATGAAACCGTAGAGGCTAATTAATTGTGTTTTTTGGTAAAAATTACTTATATTGGAGGTAAAATATGGCTCCAGCATGAGTTGAAATCACGCCATTCAAAAAAAATAATTGAAGGACAAAATGGGAATGCCCCAATTGAAATAACGCAAAATTGCGTTGATTGACTTTGATTATAAATAGTATGTAATTAATTAAAATGTATACTTATATGTTACATATTTTTTCGATACATAATCGAAGTCGTCTCAGGGTGTTTTGACCAAATTCGCGGAATTTCAAGAAGAAAAAATTGAAAATAAAATAGGTCCAGGACGAAACCTAACTTGTTTGACAGCTCAAAATACTTGTTTTGATGACAAGAATTAATGAAAAAAATACGTGAAAAATAAAACATGACATAATTTTGAAAAATCAAGTTTTTCAACTTTTTTTTTAATTCGTTATTATGAGCATCTAGGGATTGAGAAAAAAAATACTCAAAATATTCTTATAGATAGCAGAAAATGGAAAATTTTGATGGGTTATAAATGAAAATCCAATGAATAGAACTGAACTTATTGAAAAATGAAGAAAAAATCATATCTCTGAAATGGATTGTCGAAAAAATCTGAAAAAAAATGAGAGATAGTTTTTAATTAACTCATCTGATAGTTATTTCGTACTTTTCTCGCAAATTCATCATTATTTCAATTTTACCGAAAATTTTGAGGTGTCCCATTTTGCCCACCCTACCCCGTTTTGCCCTACCCGCCCCTAGTTAGCAGATAGAAAAATTATTTTGCGGATAAATTTTATTTATATCAATTTGGAATAATTAGGGAGAATCTAGAAGCACAAAATTATAATTTAGGAGTCTATAGTTTATTTATAATTAATTGTTGTTTAAATTCCATATAGTTAGCAGATAATATATTGAAAAAAAAATAGTGATATGAATCGATAGCAAATAATTTGGGAAGTTCAAAAATGTCAAATTCAGAATTAGGCAGTGGATAAATATTTATTTATGTGGATCCTTATAAGAAAGTTGAAAAATATTTATTTATAAAATATTTATCCACTCCCTAATTCTGAATTTGACATTTTTGAACTTCCCAAATTATTTGCTATCGATTCATATCACTATTTTTTTTTCAATATATTATCTGCTAACTATATGGAATTTAAACAACAATTAATTATAAATAAACTATAGACTCCTAAATTATAATTTTGTGCTTCTAAATTCTCCCTAATTATTCCCAATTGATATAAATAAAATTCATCCGCAAAATAATTTTTCTATCTGCTAACTAGGGGCGGGTAGGGCAAAACGGGGTAGGGTGGGCAAAATGGGACACCTCAAAATTTTCGGTAAAATTGAAATAATGATGAATTTGCGAGAAAAGTACGAAATAACTATCAGATGAGTTAATTAAAAACTATCTCTCATTTTTTTTCAGATTTTTTCGACAATCCATTTCAGAGATATGATTTTTTCTTCATTTTTCAATAAGTTCAGTTCTATTCATTGGATTTTCATTTATAACCCATCAAAATTTTCCATTTTCTGCTATCTATAAGAATATTTTGAGTATTTTTTTTCTCAATCTCTAGGTGCTCATAATAACGAATTCAAACAAAAAGTTGAAAAACTTGATTTTTCAAAATTATGTCATGTTTTATTTTTTTCGTATTTTTTTCATTAATTCTTGTCATCAAAACAAGTATTTTGAACTGTCAAACAAGTTAGGTTTCGTCCTGGACCTATTTTATTTTCAATTTTTTCATGTTGAAATTCCGCGAATTTGGTCAAAACACCCTGAGACGACTTCGATTATGTATCGAAAAAATATGTAACATATAAGTATACATTTTAATTAATTTCATATTATTTGTAATCAAAGTCAATCAACCCAATTTTGCGGTATTTCAATTGGGGCATTCCATTTTGTCCTTCAATTATTTTTTTTGAATTGGCGTGATTTCAACTCATGCTGAAGCCATATTTTACCTCCACTATAAGTAATTTTTACCAAAAAACACAATTAATTAGCCTCTACGGTTTTATACCCCATTTTGTCTTCCGCTCCCCTATATAGCGGTTGTTTTGTATGTTTTATCGATATGTTGTTCCCTGCCTTATCTTCTGAGGTCGATAAAGCAGAGCTCGCTATATCATTCGGCTAAATCGAAAATCGGCAGTATTTTTAGGCGCCTGATTCGAATAATCTCAAACTAAAAATTACAATAAAGAATAGGCTCTTGGGTTGGAATAGTTGAATACATGTTGTACGATAGTATAATTATACGGGAGTTATATACCTACCATTATTGATTTTTTAGCGTCATGCTCAATAATACAATTTCATGGATTCTGCTAGTTCCATTTCTATAAGGAGATCAATGCAAAGGTTCTTACAAGTTCTAATTCCCGTTAACGTAATCCAAGGGCTGAAGACTAAAGAAATTTTCGTCAAAAAAATTCATTGGTAGATATATTATTCTTAGGATTACTTTCTTGGCTGGAATCTATATCCGTTATCATTTTTAATCACATAAAACCGTCAAATACTGTTGTAATTCCGCCGGTAAACTCAGACTACAGTTAATGACCTTACAGTTATCAATTTTTTACCGTAAATACAAGTAAGAAGATATTAGTTCATCAAGAGTAGTCATATCTTCAAGAGTACATTGAAGTAATTCTTGATTGGAGGCATTAATTAATTCCGCTGCCTAACTATTTTGTATTCAAATGTTCAGCATGATATTTATTCGTGGCTGCGGTATATCACTGGCTTGAAGAGTCAATATAATAGTTTTTTGTTTTATTATCACAATTCCTAAATATGTCGTATTAGTAATTGATATGGCTACATCGGCACAGTTATAAAAATAAAGTAGATATAAATCGCACCATTATAATTATATCGATGTGGTCGATTATTTTTCGACATATTGCTAATGTTTGTTGAAGAAATTCTGCTGTAAAAAATTGAATGAAAATATTATATCGCCTGATCAGAAGTGTCGAGCGAAAGTAAAATTACATTTTAATTCCATTGTTAAATTTGAAAATAAGAAATCTAGGTGATAGGAAGTTTTTTATTCGTAAGTTTGTAGTACTCTGACGCTTGCCTTTTGGGAGCCGTGACCTCAACCCAAACCGACGCGGTTTATATTTACATTTTTAGAAAACGGAGTTTCTCACCGAGTGATCTTTACTATTTTATGTTTCTGCGCACGGGAAACGTGGTTTATCGTTTTTATTTAAAAATGACCAATTTTCAATTAATTTCCATAAAATATCTGGGTGATATTCTTCCACAATTTCTCTCATTTAGCCATTCGTAAATTATCAAGAGTATATGACCTCCATGCAAGTTTCATGTTCTTCAATGATTGTCATTTCATTGCCATATAGCCAAAGTGACGTAAGTGCCATCATTTTGAGTTTTTTACATGGTTACGTCTATGGGGTGCGTTTCGGAATCAACTACCGTAGCTGCAGTAAAGCAAAATTAAATAGGGTTGCAGTAACTGCTACTGCTACTACGTCGATTGCGAAACGTGTCTATGGTTTCAATATGGGGGGTCATTTTGGGCAATGGTCCTTATGTGTAGCGCCATCTATCGGAATTCTAGAAAATTCTAGACATTTCGAAGTAATTCGAGACGTTTCTCGAAATTTCGCAAAAATTCAAGGAGTTTCCAGAAAATTCGAGGGAATGCAAGGAGTTTCTAGGAAAGAAAGAAGGAAAGACCATGGACGTATCCACGTACCATTACGGCAGTATCAAAGATACCGCCTCCTGCAATTTTTCTTCTTCAAAGCTAACAGGGCGTTAATTTTTTAAAATTGTAAAATTCAATTTACCGATTTTTTCCAACATTTTTTAATTAACTTTGATAATGACAAATCGACGTAAGTCCAAAAGTTAGAATCAAAGGGGCGCATCTCCAGCACCTGCGTTCCATCAATTGTAGTCCTTTGATTGATATCCTCGTTCACTTGGAGAATAAAGAATGACAAACGGGCATAACTCGAAAGTGTAAGTTCTTGTTTTTTCTGCTTCTTCTAATGTATTTCACGGTTACCCTAACAAAGAAACGTCCCCAGGTGTACCTCACTGGTTTAATCCATTTTGACATAGGTTATTCTACGTGAAAAATGATTGACCACGTATTTTTTTACGTGCTAATTCGGCCATAGAGGGCGGAAATGGTGTTTAAAATTCGCTCAAAAAAATTATTTTTCGCGATTTCCCGAAAACTAGGTTAACTTTTCTAAATTTTTTTTTGGCATTCAATCACTCATTCGACGGCACTTTTATTGATATAGGTTTCGTTTACAAGGTTTGACTTTTTCAATACTTTATTAAACAAAAATGTTTTTTTTCATAATTGTGAAAAAAGATTATGTTCCTCATTCGGCCAAAAACCACTTTTCTGACCCGTGGGATTGCATTCCTCGGCTTCGCCTTGGTCTGCAACCCTCACACTTGTCAGAAAAGTTTTTTTCGGCCTTGTGACGAAAATAGCTATTTTTTCTCACCATCATCAAAGATCTCTCTTCATAATAAGGATCTGAAGCATAATTGGGACTTACGTCCCTTTGTCGTTGAAAATTGGTAATTACGCTCCTAGACGTGTTTATTAATACATTTTTGTTCAGAAATTGGACGAAAAGTCGATAAACCATTAAAACGGAATATGCGCCCCTTTGTCTATACGCCGATGATTTGTTAAGATGAATTTGTGATAAAAATATTCTTTTGCGCATGTAAATATCATTTTCATCACGCTGTGACGAAAAATGAATTTTTCGGCACGCTCCGCGAGCCTAAAAGTCCAATTTCTGCCACATTGTGATGAAAAATTGTTCGTAACTCTTGAAAAAATGTTTTTTAGCTCGTGGGATTATATCACGAGCCTTCGGCTATTCTAAGAGAATTAGAATTTAGAGAGAAAAAATTTCCGCGTCACCCAGCCGGGAATCGAACCCGGGTCTCCCAGATACGCGCCGGGCACTCTTACCGACTAAGTTACCGGGAACCACAGAAATTCACTCTCAAATTCACCTCAAACACCGCCTAACCTCCTTTAGGCATTAAAGATATAAACCTCCCACTCGCCAAAAAACACTTTTTTGCACTCGTTACGAAATGTACTATTAAAGGTGTTCATAATTTAGATTTTGCTAAGCAATTTATCGTTAGCTTGTTATTACCTCCAGGTTGTGGCATTTTATTGATTAAATTTCCGGAAGGATCGAATACCATAATTCTATTGTTACAGTAACCATCAGCCACGACAATTTCACCTGTGCGTGAAATAGCTACGGAAGTTGGTTGACAGAAGTGTTGATTATCTGACCCACGTATAAATCTTTCGCCGAGTGCTATTTCTGGTTCAATACTGCCAGGTGTAAACTAGAATCGAAATATAATCCAAATGTGAAAAATAAAAATGGAAAAGGTCGAAGATGCGTAAGAAAAACATTTCATCAAAGATTTTAATTCCAAAAAATTGAAATTAATTTTTTTTTATCTCTAAATTCAAATGCTGAAATCATGATTATTTTATTAATTTCCAATTATTTTTAATTCTTCCATGAATTCATGGAGTTCTAAGGCTTTTTCATGATTAAGAAATTATGATAAAGATACGAAAGAGCTCAGTTTACAATATGCAATTACGCAGCGGAGTTGTTAAATGGTTTGCAAAGATCCTACGAAAGATAATTACTTTGAAAACTTGATGCAGAGCAACGTCGGTGAGCCATGTATTGCCATTGGCATCGATGTGAAGCCCATGAGGTAGATAGAACATATCCGCACCCCAAGCGCTCTCAACGACGCCATTCAGTGGATTCAAGTTCAGGACGGTATCCTGTTGGATCGGTCCTCTAAATGCCTCTCGGTACTCCAGATTATCGTCAAATGAACTGAAACATTATCATTATCACTTCACACATTTCTTGAAAATTTATCAGAATCTGTGGATTATTTTTCCTGTTAAAAATCAATCTTTTTTTTTCCAGTCTTCGAAGTGAAATACAGACAATTTATTGATCCACCTGAACTAGCATCATTATGAAGAAGTCGTGGGACTGTTCCAGTTTTTCTAAATTATTTCGAGTGCCAATTATTGATTTATTTCATCAATGACTTGTCCGAGGACAAATAGTCAAAAGTTCACGTTCGTGACAAATTTTGTGGGCTACAAGAAATTCCTTTAAACATTCTTAAACAAAAGTATAATTTTTTTATGTGGTACTTGATTTAGCAAAGATCTTCGATTTTAATGCAATTTTTAAAAATTTCGGCCATTGTTTGCGAAATTTGGTCGCCGACCAGAAAATTTCAAGACACTTTTTTTATGGAATTGTTTGCAAGATGCAAAACAAATCTAGCATTTTTGGTTTCCAACATGTTTTTCAATATATAATTAAAAATTTATTCAACAAAGATTTGAATGAAAAATTGTTCAATATTTGAGAAATGAAGAGAACAGTACAATTGTATATTCTAAAACAGAAGAAGTAGAACCATAGAACGACAAAAATGTTCTGGATGACTAGATTGTATATAAGAGACAAGGTCCTAAGTGTGAGAATTTATATGAATTGTTTATTATCCTCATGTATTTTCAATAGTGTAAACTTGAAGTTATCAAATAAAGCATTATTACCACGACCAATTCCGTGTTTTAAGTATATAAAAAACCATTACAAGGCAGAAGATCACCTAGACAATGAGCACAATCATGTAAAAATGTTAATAAATCCGTTTTGTAGAAGATTTCCGTTTTGTTTCAGATGATAGAAAAAACATACTTGTAGTCCCAGATTCTGTCAGCGCGATGGAAGATGACCGGTTTGCCGGACGGGTGTACAGACACGCCAACAATCTGTCCAACTCCTGCGGGTCCTTGCCATCCAGCTTGCTCTACAGGATAGAGCACCTTTTGCTGCTCAACAGTCTCACTCCTCTCACCTTTTTCCTTGAAGACAATCCACAAAAAAATGCATTAGATCTCAACACAACAGTTCACCGTCTTCAAAAATTTCAACAGCTGTTACCCGCAAAAAATTTTTCTTTATGAATGTTGAATTGATCCCCGTGACGTAGGGAAGAAATAATAATAGCCAAGACCGAAATTTCAGTCCGTGTTATTCTCTAAATATCTTGAAAATCGACCGATTTGGAGAGGAGAATCGAACTTTTCCCTTCAAGATTACTCATTACTGAGATAATCGCGATTCAATAACCAAAGGGTAAAAGATGAATAATAATAATTCAGAAAAAAAAATTTTTTTTCAGCTCCCCAAATCGCTATAAATGAAATCGTTTGACATATTTCTTCAAATCTCTTTCTTCAGAAGACATTCCCAAAATATTCTGCACATCTGTTAATTCTAAACTGATTCCCTATTCCCACCAGTTGGTAGATCAACATTAAATTGAAATAAATGACATAGAAAAACTTACATTCAACAGATTGAGCAGTTCGTCAACGATATCTTGGAAGGTTCCATCATCAACGTCAACGAAACGTCCAGTGGCAATTCCAATAATTCCCAGAACAATTGGAAGAATGATATCAAGCCTGCCGTTCATTCTGTCCTCACGTATGGATCAACTGGTTGGTAGTTCGAGGAGTGCCGAGAGCTTGTCGTCTGAATTTCTCGATTCGAATCAATAAAGCGCGCTTGCGCACTTCCTTAATACGCAATTCTCTAATGATCCCAATATTTTATTTCACTGGATTATTAATTCTGCGATTTTTTGAATTTTCCGGAGTAATTTATCCCCTGATAGTGAACTCACTATTATTATCAAGTTTTGTAGATTTGTTCTTTTCAGTTTATTCAATTAATTTAATAAATACAATTTTAACGAGCGGATTTTTATGGCGCAGACATCAATCTCGAGATGATTAAGATGAGTCTCTTATTCTTCTCAAGGTCAATGATTTTTTTGGTTCAGAAAGAGGATTTATTGATATTTTATCACTCGAGAAATTGAGAAAACAAATTCTGTCAAATTTTGGCATCTATTGAAGTGATTTGATTCTGGTTTCTGACTTTTTGGCTGTATGAGTTATCTAAGATTTTCGATGCTCGAAAATGCTTCAACTTGAATATCTTCAGAATAATTGTATTTTGAATTTTTTGTTACTTCACTTCGGTTGATGATTTATTTCAATTTGTTCTGATTTACACATTTCAATCTATTGAAAATAAAAAAATTTGAGTTAATTATAATGAAATAAGATTTAAACTCATAATGGCAGCTGGCGAACAAACTGCGCCATGGGTTGTTCGTGACCAACTGCACTTGGTCCACAATTTGTTGCAGGGAATTGTGCTTTTGGGGGATGATGCAAACCGTTGGGGAGTAATCGATAAATTTGCGCAGGTGTCCTCGTCATTTACATCGAATAAAACTGTGATTCCCTGATTCTTCACTCTTTCAAATCTTGCAGAAAACAAATCGCAAAATAATGAAAAAATAAGGGAATTTGACATTGTATCTTTTTCTGCATTGGTGATAATTTTTCGTACGAATAAGGAAAAATGCCTGTGGTACGTGTTGCACATCTGCAGTTTCAAGGACGTTGCAGTGGATCAATAGAGCAGCTAGTATCAAGAGCCAGGAATAAACACTGGTCGGATCATGACCGTTACAATTTCATTTTTCTATTTGCATCTTTGTTAATTACACCAACTATCTCCGGATTAGGAAGTTTTAGAGAAAAACTGTTGAAGGATTTTTTTCGTAGCTAAGAAAATTTTCTATAAGAAAGGTTTTTATGTTTTTTTCTTCCGAATGGAAGCATTGAAATCATTAAATTTCTAAGTTTTCCAATTTTACTTGGAAAAGATGTAGAATGGTGTAAAACGTAAAAATACGAAGTTTGACGACCATGTGTGCATGTCCACTTGGTGGAAAATCCCAAAATTAAAAAGCTGAAATAATTTCAAAAAATCTCAAATTTTATCAGATTATAGGTATCAATGAAAACAAACTCTGTGCTCAATTTCAGTCCGATCGGCCCAGCTGTTTTTGAAAAATTGCCATTTATTTCTAAATCATTTTCCGTCAATAACTCGAAAACTATCCAACCGATTTCAATAATTTTTGAAATATTTCTCTTGATGTCTTTTATCTCAATTAAAACATGTATACCACATTCATACAACGTTTTTGAGACATTTTCATTTTTCTGTCCTTCGCTTAAAATCCTTCTACGCACTCTAACTTTTGAAAAAATCAACATATCAACTCGAAATTTGGCATGAAGTTTTCTGCTATCATTGCAGCGGTTCGTATCGCAAGTGAGCTGAATAGGATACTTAGTTTAGGAGATATTCAAATTTTTTTGTAATAGTATATTATATGTCATCAGGCGATAAAAGTATTATCTGGCGAATGTGGCTTTATAATTATTCTTTTATCGCCGTGTGACATATGATATTTTATGTCATTGGGCCCGAAAACCGCGATCTAACCGAGCGAAGCGAGGTTAGAATCGCGGTTTATCGGGCCTAATGACATAAATCTTTTTTTATCACTGTCCGTAAAACGTCGGTTTACGGACAGTTCGTGTCCGTTAAACGTCGTTTACGGACATTGTGAACAAATAGTATATTTCGTCATTAGGCCGAAAATAGTATATTTCGTCACTAGGCCGAAAGAAACTTTTCTGGCGAATATGAGTTTGCAGCCCGAGCCGAAGGCGAGGGCTGCAATCATATGAGCTAGAAAAGTTTTTTTTGGCCGTATGACGAACAGTATTTTTTGTTATGACGGCCGTAGGCAGAGATTCACGGACGCGGAGCGGAGCGCAGCGTCCGTGAAGCGCTGCCTCACGGCCGGAATGACAAAAAAACTTTTCTGACGAATATGATTGCAGCCCTCGCCTTCGGCTCGTGCTGCAAACCTCATATTCACTAGAAAAGTTTTTTTTGGCCGTATGACGAATAATATTTTTTGTCATGACGGCCGTAGGCAGAGATTCCCGTGAAATGCTGCCTTACAGCCGGAATGACAAAAACAGTTATTCCTTCAATATTTAAAAAAGTAACCAACTGATTTCAATCATTTTTTTTCTAAATATTCGTCTGGATACCTTCTATCTCAAACAATCGAAATATATGTACCTTTTTGACATACGTGGATGAAAAAGTCCACTTTTTTCACTACTTTTCGTGTGTAAAGTGGATCTTTTTGGGTGTACTTTAGAGTAGTTAAAAAAAGTACACTTTTTTTAACGTTATTTTGAGAGCTCTTAGCAGTGCCGCCATTTGACACACCGGAGGCCAGCCTACTCGTGAGGATTCTGACCAATCATATGCCGTATTTCTTCTAACGACTGTTCTGGCTAAAAACATCGGTCTACGGCTCGTTGTGCATTAGTGTTGATGTATAATCCGTGTCACAGCCTTCCCACGGTCACTGAGGCTGCATTCTTGGTCATTGCGAAACAGTATATTTGTCAATTTTTATTTAAATCAATTTCAGGAAACTTTTCTAACCACGCCGTTGACGGAACCTGTAGACTGCTAGTAGAGAGTAAGTTGACTCTCTATTTGTTCCTGGAGTGGAGAGAAAGTTGAGAGTTCGTGGAGAATGGGACTGACAGGGCCAATTCTCTACTCATGAGTACTTTTAGAGAGTAGAAAGCTGAGGGGAGGACTATTCTGGGCTTCGTGGATTTGGACCCTTGAGTAATCTGACCCTCTAATCTTTAGAACCTTAGACCTCATGCCTCTTTGAACGCCCAAACCCGAATTTTTTTGTGAACGCTGAATGTTATGGCCCTAAAACCTTCCAAACCCTACAGATTATGATTCATATATTGTGACCCTTATATTTTCAGACCCTTACTGATTCTGACCCTTAGATTTTGACCCTAAAAATTTCTGACCCTTAAAAAAGTGTGACTGTCAAATATTTGAACCTTATTATTTTTGACCCTTAAAATGAGGTCAACCCTCTACTATCTACTTTTGTAGAGAGTTGGGATCGGATGCTTCCCAAGTGGAAATTCTGTTCAGGTCTCGATCAGAAACTGATCAAGTCCGATCCGAAACTCTGATCAGGAATGTTACGCTTCTACCTTATATTTTTCCACTAGGGTACTTGGGCTCCAAAAATCGATTGGATGCTCGTTTGAGTTTGGATTGGAAAAAATTCCAAAACTACAATTAAGTATGAACGTTGGTTCATAAAGATCTTCTTTTCTTATTGATTTTTTTCACTGTTAGAAACACCTAGAAACGAATTCTTCTACATATCTCAACTCTACACCAACCTTTCTTCTCGGTGCTTTGGAAATTTGTGAGCACTACAAACAACTACAAACGATTTTAGACAGGAATCCGAGCTCATTCTGGCTATAGCTTTCAATCACTTCCTACTTGGTCTCCAAAAATCGATTGGACGCTCATTTGATTTCCGATTACGGAAATTCCAAAACTACAATCAACTACAAACGATTGCAGATAAGAATCTCACGCCATTACAAATACAACTATGAAATAGTTCCTAACTGTATTTCAAAAACGAATTGGACACTCCATNTGACCCTCTAATCTTTAGAACCTTAGACCTCATGCCTCTTTGAACGCCCAAACCCGAATTTTTTTGTGAACGCTGAATGTTATGGCCCTAAAACCTTCCAAACCCTACAGATTATGATTCATATATTGTGACCCTTATATTTTCAGACCCTTACTGATTCTGACCCTTAGATTTTGACCCTAAAAATTTCTGACCCTTAAAAAAGTGTGACTGTCAAATATTTGAACCTTATTATTTTTGACCCTTAAAATGAGGTCAACCCTCTACTATCTACTTTTGTAGAGAGTTGGGATCGGATGCTTCCCAAGTGGAAATTCTGTTCAGGTCTCGATCAGAAACTGATCAAGTCCGATCCGAAACTCTGATCAGGAATGTTACGCTTCTACCTTATATTTTTCCACTAGGGTACTTGGGCTCCAAAAATCGATTGGATGCTCGTTTGAGTTTGGATTGGAAAAAATTCCAAAACTACAATTAAGTATGAACGTTGGTTCATAAAGATCTTCTTTTCTTATTGATTTTTTTCACTGTTAGAAACACCTAGAAACGAATTCTTCTACATATCTCAACTCTACACCAACCTTTCTTCTCGGTGCTTTGGAAATTTGTGAGCACTACAAACAACTACAAACGATTTTAGACAGGAATCCGAGCTCATTCTGGCTATAGCTTTCAATCACTTCCTACTTGGTCTCCAAAAATCGATTGGACGCTCATTTGATTTCCGATTACGGAAATTCCAAAACTACAATCAACTACAAACGATTGCAGATAAGAATCTCACGCCATTACAAATACAACTATGAAATAGTTCCTAACTGTATTTCAAAAACGAATTGGACACTCCATTTCAAATTACAAACAAGAAAAACGTTACTACTATCACGAGTAGCTCAAAATCTATCAATTATGAAATTTTGGTTCAAATCCAACCAAGTGGGGTGCCCACTTCACGGAGCTATGAAAAATAGATATTTTTTGCTAATCGCAAACGCAAAAAGTCATGCGTGGATCCCGGACAACCATTGATATCCATTTCCCGGATGGGTCTAAACTAGGTACATCCGCAAATAATGGTACAGGAAGTGGCGGCCATTTTTCTCAGCAGTTTCGGGGGTAGGGCCATCTAGAATCACTGTAGGGAACTGAAAAAGAGAATTTCTTTACCTGTTGTGAAAATTACCGATCGGAGAAGGGAATGCGAGTGTCCTCTATCATAATTTTATTGTAACGGAAAATTTGGATGTTTTATAGATGGCGATAGTAATCCACAAACCATCTTTCAACGTTCTGTCAAGGGGTGCTCATCCTAAAATAATAACGAGAATGTGCATGGAAGCTATGTGCCCCGTTTTTTTCAAATAATTAATTAATTGTTAATGAATTAATTTATTGTATCGATGATGGTTATTCACTCTTTGAATTTAATCAGATATTTTTTTCGCAGTGCTCTATAATATTTCTTATTGCTGCGCTTAATTATATATAATTGGATTAACCTAAATTACCGGTGATGGTATTTAAAATTTTTAAAAATGATAAATAAATCGTTGTTCATTCTATCATCCCATACAAATAATTGTTGTTAATGTTTATTGTTAATAATTGGAAAAAAAAATTGGTTTCGGCGAGATTCGAACCCTGAGCCTCCAGCATATAAATCCATAACCTTATCCACTCTGCCAAAGGAGGCCATTTAACTTGGCATTTAGTTTTGTCTATAACACGATAATTATTAAATTTTATATTGTTTATGCATATAGTCCACCATAGTTCCAATTAATATCTTGTTTCTTCATTATTGGTGACTATCAAATAATCAAATAATTATTGCGAATAAATATAAATGATCTCGATAGAATCATAGATTTGTTTTCTGCATAAATTTTTTCATCATGTACTAATTAATTGTTTACTATGTCAACGAAGGTTATTACAATATTCCATTCAATCAAATCAATTATTGGAATCTGCCGTGAAGTGTTTTTTAATACCTGGCATTATTTAATTAGATTTGTTTGCATAAAAGTCAATATCAGATATTAATTATAAACAAATCACCAAAATTCCATCATCCCATGAGAAACTATTTGGATTGTTACGCTTAATTACTTGTGGTTGAATCATCAGAAATTACCGGTAATGACATTTGAAATAAAAAACAATTAATAATGAATGGTTGTACACATATTATCATCCCATAAAAATAATTGTTGTTAACGTTTATTGTTGATAAATGAAAACAAAAAAATTAGTTTCGGCGAGACTTGAACCCTGCCCCAAAATATTATGATTCCCATAATATTATCCACTTATTTATTTTATTTTTTTAAATCACTCTGCCAAAGCACTGTATTTGATTTGGAAATTTAATTATGCCTATACGATGGTCGTTATTACTCCTTACTTTTTTTTTTAATTTTCAAAAAATTGAAACGAATAGGGACTTGTATATTAATTTATTTTTTGTATTATCAAACAGTTAAAACAACGGTTGTTATCGTAACGTCACGACCGTTTGCAGGTAGTTTGAAAAACACTCCTTTTCAATGTTCAATTTTTTAAAGGAATTCATGGCGTTTTTTTATTAGAATTCCCTACGGCGAAGTGTAGTACTCCACGCCGGAGTTGAGGGAGGGAGTAGGCGAAGGGGTCTGAGCCAAATAATAATATTAATTTTTGAGAAAAAAAGGATAATTCCTCGGTAGACATTTTCATTTCTTTTATTATTGGAAATTTCCCTCAATTAAAAAAAGTTATGCTCGATTAGTTTTTCACTCCGGATTCATACCCACCAAAGTAATAATCGTATTTGGAGTTTCATTCCTGGAAAAGAGGGGAGTAATTCGGAACAGCCATATAGAAGGGAGGCAGCTCAAGTCATGAACGCCCGACAATAAACGACCTGACCATGGCAGGTGTACTCGTACAGGTATAAATCGATAGTCCCTACTCAGGAGAACTCAGTCGCAGGACTACTCCTCGCAGTTTCAACATCGTCACCGTCATCATTCAATCGAAATAGTGTTACGTGCATTTTATATTTTTGTAATTGTGTGTGACGTCTCCAGAATGAAAAGACCAAGTACGAGTGTCCTACCTACGGAGATTATTATTCACATATTTAAATACGTTCCCATACTATGGAAGATTAAACTGGAAAGAGGTATGGGCATCTTCTCTCGTTGTCTTTATAGAAAGGGGGGGAACATACCTTCATAGTGCCCAATTGGGACAGTTTCAAGTTGATCGCCAGATATGGGTGAATTCGCCAAACATTGGTTCAATTTAATTACGATTTTTTTTTTTGGAAAAAGGTGAAATAATTGAATTTGAAAAAATAATAATTAATTCGTTTCATTAGTCCTAGACCCTTAAAAAAAAATACTTTTCTCGTTGGGCCAAATTTCAAATAAATGGCTCAACGCTCTGCTAAATTCGAAACTCATCTTAGTTTGCAGGCAATGGCAGGAGGCGAGCAAAGCTTCCTGGAGCGGTATTAGGCGATTAATTGTCGTTTCTCCCCGTCGGCGCAGAAACTCCCTTGGCATATATGTCCAAAATGATGAAATATATGTCTCAAGATATGACCAAATAATGATGGATGCCATTCTATCTCGTATTGGGCACAACATCACCCATCTATCATTTGAGTTGTTTTCTGTCGATCTGGATAAACATTTCTTCCTACTCATCGCGAAACATTGCACCAATGTGGAGAACTTCAGCAGCAGCGGATGGCAGAAATCAGCAGAGCTGAAGCACTTACTTTCTTGCAATACAAAATTAAGATCCATTTACTTGGATGGAGCAGAGGTGAGTTTAAGCGCATTGCAAGGCCGGAACTGGAAATGTTTGCACTTACTAGGTGGCATGCCGATTTGGGAAAAGGCTTCGAAGGAACGAGTAGTGGAACTCATAAATGGCAGTTCCGATTTGGAAGATTTGAGACTTGACACATGGTCGGAAGAAATTCGTGATGCCGTCGTAAAGAAGTCGAAATTGAAGTCCCTGGGTTATTGCGAAGAATTGTTTCGCTATGGTCGACGTCCGGAGTTAATTAATTTCCAGGGAATGCGATTATTGACGAGTTTGGCCCTATGTGATCTCGGGATAAAGGTGGATTGTGCAGAACGTTTCCTCAGGATGCTCATCCAAATATCCCTGTATTGTCCAAACTTCCAGGAATTATCAATACGAGGTGAAAATTCAATAAAAATGATATACTTCCATGAATTCTTAGTAATTAAGGATAATAATAGTGATAATAATAATGATCATAATAATAATAAGAATCATACTAAAAATACTAATAACAATAACAATCCATAATAGTAACTACCATAATAATAATATTCTTATTATTATGGTAGATAATAGGAGAAGCGGGGGGTGGTTATTATTATTTCATTGTATATCTATATTGAGAAAATTTAAGGGCGATGAGAAACAATATGTAAAAACTCGAGAGGGTATACGGAAGACGAATAATTCTGAATAATTATTTGCATAAAAATGTTTTTGCCTTCATTGCAGAGACGGCGGTATCAAATTCGGCGTATGAAGCGATGTTGGCTTTACCAAAACTTCATACCCTGGCCTTAGAAAATATCAAGTCCTTTGATGATACCATGCTCGTGCGGCTATCAAAGCTTCGCCGGTTAGCAGTGAAGAACGTTGGTTATAGCGTTGAAGGATTGCTGTCGTTTTTGGCCGAAGCCACCGATTTGGAGTATTTGGACATTAGCTGGAGTAGCCTATATATTGCAGAACTGGAGCAGATCATTAATGTTACATTCCATCGAAAGAACAAACTGAAGATCATCGTTCACCAACGTGATATGAATAAAATTGTATCCATGTCTCCAGGAAAACATGTGACGTTCGCCCAGTGGCATTATAAGCAACATACGCATTTCCTGCTCCGTCCATGAATAATTAATATGAATATAAATATGTAAAATCTATGGAATGGCGAATAACAACGAATTTTGTTGATAAAATAGTTGAGATTTCCAAATACTTGATTCATTTGGTAGTGGGGGGGGGCTTGTGTATAGATTGCACAATACACAAGCCCACGTCACCATAACATGATGTTCTATGGTTCTCTGCAGTTTCCCTACTGGCGCAGGTAGGGCTCATCCCCACAATGACAGGTCAATGAGGATTGGTGGCTTTTACAACAAATGGGACTGGAGTTAGTCTGTGGACATTGCTCCCACCAGGTGCACCGCTCAGGTAAACACAGTTCTAGATCGGCGGTCAATCACGGCGGATATCTCACGGAATACGCACAGAAAATTTATAATCAGTTGCAATTTAGCATATATTATTCGGTGTTCGGTGAAAATGCCATCTGAAAGAAAAACAATCAGGGGTCTTACAGACTTTCCACTGGAGTTATTGACGGAAATTTTCAAAAGTGTTCCTCCCACTTCGAAGATTGTACTAGAAAGAGGTATGTTTTTGGGATCTCGTTCTGTGCGAANATCCAATTATATATAATTAAGCGCAGCAATAAGAAATATTATAGAGCACTGCGAAAAAAATATCTGATTAAATTCAAAGAGTGAATAACCATCATCGATACAATAAATTAATTCATTAACAATTAATTAATTATTTGAAAAAAACGGGGCACATAGCTTCCATGCACATTCTCGTTATTATTTTAGGATGAGCACCCCTTGACAGAACGTTGAAAGATGGTTTGTGGATTACTATCGCCATCTATAAAACATCCAAATTTTCCGTTACAATAAAATTATGATAGAGGACACTCGCATTCCCTTCTCCGATCGGTAATTTTCACAACAGGTAAAGAAATTCTCTTTTTCAGTTCCCTACAGTGATTCTAGATGGCCCTACCCCCGAAACTGCTGAGAAAAATGGCCGCCACTTCCTGTACCATTATTTGCGGATGTACCTAGTTTAGACCCATCCCCATTTCCCAACAAAAAAATCACTTGAAAAAAGTTCTCTGCATCTGGTGGGATATGAAGGGTGTACTCTATTATGAACTTTTGAAAACAGGTCAGATAGTTACTGCAGAACGCTACAGTTGACAATTGAAGAAATTGAGCGAGGTACTTGATAAAAAGAGGCTATTTACTGGGCAAGGAAGCCGGAAAGTTATACTGCTCCATGGTAACGCTCGACCTCATGTCATTTACTGGGCAAGGGAACCGGAAAGTCATGTTAGTCCCTGATAACGCTCGATCTCATGTTTCTCGCGCGACTCAGAAAACCATTTTAAGCTTGGGCTGAGAGGTTATCCCGCACGCGGTTTATTCACCGGATTTGGCCCCTTCCGATTACCATCTGTTCCGGTCCATGTAGCGCGCCTTGGAGGAAAGCCGCTTCCAAACTCTGGACGATGTACAAAAATTCGTCGATGACTTCATCGCTTCAAAGCCTGCAAGTTTTTTTCGCGATGGCATTCGTATGTTGCCCGATCGATGGGGCAAGATTATCGAAACCGATGGACGATATTTCGAGGATTGATCTAGTATTTGTATATTTTATAATGTGACATTTTTTAATAAAAAAAGGGGAAAATTAAGTTATACACCGAATAATATGACCCTTATTACTTGACCATAATTTTTTTACCCTTATTTTCTGACTCTCATTTTCTGATCCTCTCTTTTTGACCCTTATATTCTGAGACTTGTCTGACTCATTCTGTGACCTTCCCATTTTCCCTTTATATTCTCACCCTGTGACGGTCGTCACAAAAAAATTTGTAAAAAAAAATTTGCAAAAAGAAATTTGAAAAAGATGTGTGAGAGAGAAATCGGTAAAGAAAATTGGCAAGAGAAAATTTATTGGGGAAGGGAACATTTTAAGTTACCAACTCAAGATAAAGAACAGTCGGTAAAATCGCGTACGCCAGAGGGGGGAAAACTACTAAAACGCCCGATAGTGGCGCAAACTATCCGTGTCTCGCCGCGCAATCGCGCCGATTGGTGGGAGTCGCGGCCAATCGGGAGAGAGTCGAGGGTAGTAGAGTGGGAGGAGAGTCCTAGGTGAGCGTGAAGCATATAAAAGGAGCTGCAGAGCAGCGAAAAATCAGTCTCTCGCTCAGACTTAGCTCACTAGAGGTGTTCCCTAGTAAGCAACCCGAAGCGGCCTAAACCGGAGAGGCATCCCCGGTAGAAGCCAAGCCCTAACCTATACTAGAGGGGTATCCCTAGTGGAAGTTCCGTTAAGAGGTCTAGTTCGGAGGGGTATCCCCGGACGAACCCATTCCCAGAGAGAATTAGAAGGGCGAATCTCCGTTGAAACCAGAGGGGTATCCCTGGTGGAGATGCTAATTCCCCATTAGAAGGTGGAAGCCGGAGGAGTATCCCCGGTGGAAACCAATTAGACAGAACAAGCAAAGAGAGAATTAGAAGGGCGAATCTCCGTTGAAACCACAGGGGTATCCCTGGTGGAAGCGTGAATTCCCCAATAGACGTGTACACGTAAAAAAAATGAGTCTCGGTTTTGCCCCCAAGACCCTAAAGAAAACCTAGACTCATCCCTAAAGTTGAAAGAGAACTCTCGGTTTTGCCCCAAGACCCTAAAGAAAGCCTAGACTCATCCCTAAAGTTGAAAAAGAACTCTCGGTTTTGCCCCAAGATCCTAAAGAAAGCCTAGACCCATCCCTAAAGTTGATAAATAACTCTTGGTTTTGCCCCAATACCTCAGAGATAACATAGAATAATCCCTAAAGTTAAAAAATAACTCTCGGTTTTGCCCCCAAGACCTCAGAGAAACCATAGAAAAACTCTAGGCTACGAACTTATTCCAACTCTAGTAAATTCCGAGACATACTCTAGGTTTACGGGAAAAACCGAGTCTAGGTTTTCTCTAGTTCCGCCCTCGGGTTGGTCCGTCAGGGATATAGATAAAACCATTTTTTGCTCTATGACCATTATAAATTAAAAAATATTTATTACCATTATTATACATCTATACAGATGGTTAGACTACAATTCTGTTATACAAAAAATTCGTGACCGTCATTGGGATTGAAAAAATTTGTGACATTACATAACCGTCATTTTGCATCTCCACTTCAACAGATGTTAATAACGTTGCAAAATGAAAATCCATGATTTCTCGTCTAATCCTATGTTGTGTATTGCCAGCTTAAGCATAATCGCACATTCAAAACTTCGAAAATGCCTTCTTTCTGTCTCTATCAAGCGGTATTTTTAAGTAGAAATCAACAACCGGTAGTTTCTTGCTGAAATTAGCTATTTTCATTTTTTGCTCCTTCATCTGGGGCTTCTGGTAATGCGGCGGTTCTTCTCTTTGGCAATCGTTCTACTCCGTTTCTTTAATCTCTTTTTCTCTGTCCTCTTGTCACGAGGATAAAACCTGTTTCATGATGCTTGGAGTGAGAAGGAGGGGAACAGTCGACAGGAAATGGACGACAGGCGCGAGATGACAGAGGGCGAGGAAGTGGCGGGGAAGGGAGTAGGGAGGTAGTTTGAAAGAAAAGGAATAAATTTTTTAGTAGAGAGTAGGACTGATTGTTTGTGCGTGAGGTATATGAGTGGGAGAGAGATGCATGTTAATATCGGCGAGGAGGAGACCAGTTGAAGGAGGAACGACGACTGGTCCGGCACGTCTTCATTAGTCCCCAGCATCGCAGTCACGTCAGTGGCGTGAGCAGCCATAGTCGTCGCCTCGTACGCTTTGTAATTTACATTACGATACATGCATGGATATTTTTTATTAAATTTTGTTTCTCGATTCGTTCAGATGGAAATGTTAAACTCCCTTCTGAAAATTCAAATTTATTCTTTTGAGTGATTCTCAAACTTACACTTGTTCAGATTTATAGAGCTAACCTGGACAAAATATGTTCAACACAAAATTAAATTAGTGAAGTATCGATTGAAAATGAAATATCTCTATATAAGTGCAGTCCTTTTCATAAAACACCGAAGGTTTTTTTTTACTTATGCATTACCAAATTACACGAAGAGAAATATTCAATAAAATTGCGTATCTTTTCCGTAATTCCGGAGCGAAATGTGGTCACGGAATTTTTCCAGAGCGTTCCCTAACTTTTATCTGAATCTCCTGTGAAAAATTACGATACCGTCACTTAAATTTTCTGACTCGATTCCGTAATCGGTTCTGTAATTTTTACTGAACATTTCACTTCATATATGCAAATCATTGGATCCTCTATGCGAACCTGGCCATAAAATTTTCTATAGTTTCTCCCTTCCTTCTACGGATTATTTATACATAAAAAATGAGATTTCTTCAGTCGGAGGTCCAAACGATCATACAATTTCAAGCGAATAAATGAATTTCTAAGAATTATAATTCTTTTCTCGGTTCAGACGGTTGTACAACTTGACTCGGGAATTTCGCAGTTGTGTTGAATGCGCACATTGCGCACCTAGGGCGGAAAGTTGGGTTTTCCCGACTGACATTCCATGTCAACTCAGCCACACCGGATTTTTTTTTGTCTGGGAAAAATCATTGAGTAGCTGCATTTTGAACTACTACATATACTTTTTGTTTATGAGATAATCATTATGAAACTTGACATTTTCCAAAAATCATTACTTCTGAATGGATCATCCGATTTTGATGAATAAAAAAAGAAAATTTTTGTTTTTTCTCGTACTTCAAGATAAAAAATACTTCAGAGCCGTCAAGAAACTCCTAGACCAGTTTTTCGAGAATTTTTCGCGTTTTCATTTTTTTTCACTTTAGGGCCGCTCGATATTCGATCGAAATATTTTTTTTATGATAGAAAATGTCCTTATATGATATGAAAAAAATACGCCATAATGGAAAAGCGAAGCAATGCACCAGAAATTTTTTTTTTCTAAATTTTTGGGTTTTTTAGTTTTTAGGGGAGATTTATCGGTTTTTTTAAAGAAATGAGTCTGTTAACCATTATTCTTCGTTCATATATGGTGACATAAGACTACACCATCATGTAACGGAGCAAGAGT